CAGGAAGGGGTCCAGTTCCTGCTTTCTGCACATCGCTAGTCAGTTTTCCCAACACTATATATTAAAAAGGGAATCCTTTCCCCATTGTTTGTTTTTGTCAGGCTTGTCAAAGATCTGATGGTTGTAGATGTGTGGTATTGCTTCCGAGGCCTGTTTTGTTCCATAGGTTTATATCTCTGTTTTGGTACTAGTACTATGCTGTTTTGATTACTGTAGCCTCATAGTATAGTTTGAAATCAGGTAGCGTGATGCCTCCAGCTTTGTTCTTTTTGCTTGGGATTGTCTTGGCTATGCAGGTTTTCTTTTGGTTCCATATGAAGTTTAAGGTGGTTTTTTCCAGTTCTGTGAAGAGGGTCATAGGTAGCTTGATGGGGATAGCATGGAATCTATAAATTACCTTGGGCAGAATGGCCATTTTCACAATATTGATTCTTCCTGACCATGAGCATGGAATGTTTTTCCATCTGTTTGTGTCCTCTCTTATTTCCTTGAGCAGTGGTTTATAGTTCTCCTTGAAGAGGTCCTTTGCATCCTTTATTAGTTGTATTCCTAGGTATTTTATTCTCTTTGTAGCAATTGTGAATGGCAGTTGGTTCTTGATTTGGCTCTCTTTAAGTCTGTTATTGATGTATAGGAATGCTTGTGATTTCTGCACATTGATTTTGTATCCTGAGACTTTGCTGAAGTTGCTTATCAATTTCAGGAGATTTTGGGCTGACGACAGGGTCTTCTAAATATATAATCATGTCATCTGCAAATAGAGACAATTTGACTTTCTCCTTTCCTAATTAAGTACGCTTTATTTCTTTTTCTTGCCTGATTGCTCTGGCTAGAACTTCCAATACTATATTGAATAGGAGTGGTGAGAAAGGGCATCCTTGTCTAGTGCCAGATTTCAAAGGGAATGCTTCCTGTTTTTGCCCATTCAGTATGATATTGGCTGTGGGTGTGTTGTAAATAGCTTTTATTATTTTGAGATACGTTCCGTCGATACCTAGTTTATTGAGAGTTTTTAGCATAAAGGGCTGCTGAATTTTGTCGAAGACCTTCTCTGCATCTATTGAGATAATCATGTGGTTTTTGTCTTTGGTTCTATTTATGTGCTGGATTACGTTTATAGACTTGCATATGTTGAACCAGCCTTGCATCCCTGGGATGAAGCCTACTTGATCGTGATGGATAAGCTTTTTGATGTGCTGTTGCAATCAGTTTGCCAGTATTTTATTGAAGATTTTTGCATCTATGTTCATCACGGATATTGGTCTGAAGTTTCCTTTTTTTGTTGAGTCTCTGCTTGGTTTTGGCATCAGGATGATGCTGGCCTCATAAAATGATTTGGGAAGCATTCCCTCTTTTTGGATTGTTTGGAATAGTTTCAGAAGGAGTGGTACCAGCTCCTTTTTTGTATGTCTGGTAGAATCCAGCTGTGAACCCATCTGGACCTGGGCTGTTGTTTGGCAGGCTATTAATTGCTGTCTCAACTTCAGCCCTTGTTATTGGTCTATTCAGGGTTCCAACTTCTTTCTGGTTTAGGCTTGGGAGGATGCAAGTGTCCAGGAATTTATCCATTTCTTCCAGGTTTACTGGTTTATGTGCATAGAGTTGTTTGTAGTAATCTCTGTTGGTAGTTTGTATTTCTGTGGAATCAATAGTGATATCCCCTTTATTGTTTTTTTATTGCATCTATTTGATTCTTCTCTCTTTTCTTTTTTATTAATCTGGCTAACAGTCTATTTTGTTGATCTTTTCAAAAAACCAGCTCCTAGATTTATTAATTTTTTGAAGGTTTTTTTGTGTCTCTATCTCCTTCAGTTCTGCGATCTTAGTTATTTCTTGTCTTCTGCTAGCTTTTGAGTTTTTTTGATCTTGCGCCTCTAGCTTTTTCAATTTTTATGATAGGGTATTGATTTTAGATCTTTCTTTGCTTCTTATGTGGGCATTTATTGCTATAAATTTTCCTCTAGACACTGCTTTAAATGTGTCCCAGAGACTCTGGCACGTTGTGTCTTCATTCTCGTTGGTTTTGAAGAACATCTTTATTTCTGCCTTCATTTCATTGTTTATCCAGTCAACATCCAAGAGCCAGTTGTTCAGTTTCCATGAAGTTGTGCTGTTCTCAGTTAGTTTTTTAATCCTGAATTCTAATTTGATTGCACTGTGGTCTGAGAGACTGTTTGTTATTTCCATGCTTTTGCATTTGCTGAGGAGTGATTTATTTCCAATTATGTGGTCAGTTTTAGAGTAGGGGTGATGTAGTGCTACAAAGAATGTATAATCTGTGGATTTGGGGTGGAGAGTTCTGTAAATGTCTATTAGGTTTGCTCGGTCCAGATCTGAGTTCAAGTCCTGGATAACCTTGTTAATTTTCTGTCTTGGTGATCTGTCTAATATTGACAGTGGAGTGTTAAAATCTCCTACTATTATTGTGTGGGAGTCTAAGTCTCTTTGTAGGTTGTTAACAACTTGCTTTATGTGTCTTGGTGCTCCTGTATTAGGTGCGTATATATTTAGGATTGTTAGCTCTTCTTGTTGCATTGATCCTTTTACCATTATATAATGCCCTTCTTTGTCTCTTTTGATATTTGTTGGTTTAAAGTCTATTTTATCAGAGACTAGGATTGCAACTCCTGCTTTTTTTTGCTCTCCATTTGCTTGGTAAATCTTCCCCATCCCTTTATTTTGAGCCTGTGTGTCCTTGCATGTGAGATTGGTTTCCTGGATACAGCACACTGATGGGTTTTGACTTTTTATCCAATTTGCCAGTCTGTCTTTTGATTGGGGCATTTAGTCCATTTACATTTAAGGTTAATATTGTTATATGTGACTTTGATCCTGCCATTTTGATGCTGGCTAGTTGTTTTGCCCATTAGCTGACGCAGTTTCTTCATTGTGTCAATGCTCTTTACGATTTGGTATGTTTTTGGAGTGGCTGGTACTGGTTGTTCCTTTCTATGTTTAGTGCTTCTTTCAGGAGCTCTTGTAAGGCAGGCCTTATGGTGACAAAATCTTTCAGGAATTGCTTGTTCATAAAGGATTTTATTTCTCCTTTGCTCATGAAGCTTAAGTTTGGCTGGATATGAAATTCTAGGTTGAAAGTTCTTTTCTTTAAGGATGTTTAATATTGGCCCCCACTGTCTTCTGGCTTGTAGGGTTTCTGCCGAGAGATCCACTGTGAGTCTGATGGGCTTCCCTTTGTGGGTAACACGACCTTTCTCTCTGGCTGCCCTTAGCATTTTTTTCCTTCATTTCAACCCTGGTGAATCTGATGATTACGTGCCTTGGGGTTGCTCTTCTTGAGAAATATCTTTGTGATGTTCTCTGTATTTCCTGGACTTTAATATTGGCCTGCCTTGCTAAGTTGGGGAAGTTCTCCTGGATAATATTATGAAGAGTGTTTTCCAGCTTGGTTTCATTCTCTCTGTCACATTCAGTTACACCTATCAAATGTAGATTAGGTCTTTTCACATAATCCCATATTTCTTGGAGGTTTTGTTCATTTCTTTTCACTCTTTTTTCTCTAATCTTGCTTACTTGTTTTATTTCATTGAGTTGATCTTCAATCTCTGATATCCTTTCTTCTGCTTGGTCGATTCGGCTACTGAAACTTGTGTATGCTTTGCGAAGTTCTTGTGTTGTATTTTTCAGCTCCATCAAGTCATTTATAATCTTCTCTAAGCTGTTTATTTTCATTAGCATTTTGTCAAACCTTTTTCAAGGTTCTTAGTTTCTCTGCATTGGGTTAGAATATGCTCTTTTAGCTCAGAGGAGTTTGTTATTACCCACCTTCTGAAGCCTATTTCTGTCAATTCATCAGACTCATTCTCTATCCAGCTTTGTCCCCTTCCTGGTGGGGAGTTGTGATCCCTCGGAAGAGGAGAGGCATTCTGGTTTTTGGTGTTTTCATCTTTTTGCACTGGTTTCTTCCCATCTTTGTGGATTTATCTAACTGTGGTCTTTGTAGTTGGTGACTTTCGGATGGGGTCTCTGAGTGGATGTCCTTTTTGTTGATGCTGAAGTTATTTCTTTCCGTTTTTTAGTTTTTCTTCTAACCGTCAGGTCCCTCTGCTATAGGCCTGCTGGAGGTCCACTCCAGACCCTGCTTGCCTGGGGATCACCTGCATTGTTCTTGCTGGGAACCGCACTCCACAATTGTTCCTATTCGGCCATCACAATTATATTCTTTTAAACTTGTAAGCCTCTATGATGAGGTTGGCCTCACCAGACAAGCATGTATTACTGACAAAATAACTTTACGATATGTTCTTAGCCCTTTATGGAAATGCATTTATCAACAAATATAAATTTTTGTATTATCTGTTTGCTCCTACTATTTTTCACTTTTATAATTTAATATTTATAATACTTAAATCCAATATAAATTCACTTAATTAAAAAGAGAAAATTTGGAACATAGTATCTTGTAAAATCACTAACATATCTGCAATTTTACATCAAGATGGCCAGGTGCAGTGGCTCACATCTCAGTATGGCCGGGTGCAGTGGCTCACACCCATAATCTCAGCACTTTGGGAGGCCGAGGTGGGTGGATCACTCAAGGTCAGGAGTTTGAGACCAGCCTGGTCAATATGGTAAAACCCTGTCTCTAATAAAAATACAAAAATTAGCTGGGTGTGGTGGCTGGCACCTGTAATCCCAGCTACTCAGGAGGCTGAGACAGGAAAATAACTTGAACCCGGGAGGCAGAGGTTGCAGTGAGCCAAGATCACGCCATTGCACTCCAGCCTGGGGAACGCCATTGCACTCCAGCCTGGGGAACACCATTGCACTCCAGCCTGGGCAACAAGAGTGAAACTCCATCTCAAAAAAAAAAAAAGAGTACCTCAGTATTATTGCAAAAAGACTATTTGGTTTTAAATAACTTTTATAAAATAAGATTAACTGCCCAATATTAACATTCAAACTAAGAAAGTCAAACACACTAATAGTTTCACATAAAAAACAGTACTCCTCCCCTTGTCCCATGAGATGGCTCAGCTTACCTCATCTCCCTTTAAAACCTCAGTACCATCAAATTCACGAGTCTGATTTCTCTTTACTGATGCTTCTCTCTCTAGGCTGGCTAACTTCTCCTTGGCCTCCTGAAGTTCCTCAGCTTTGGCTTCTTTTTTACGGGAAATGATAGATGCCTAATTGAGCATTAAATACGAATGTATAAGACATACAATCAACTTTCAATTATCTTGTGAAATTATCTATTTTTTAGATTTTACCAAGTTATATTTTCAATGTTAGCCTGGCCTCTTCTAACCAATACCCCCTGCCCTACTACTCATCATTACTAATTATAATATTTAATATGAACATACAATGTATATTAAATACTAACCTACAAACATTTTGGAAGACAAAGCTCTGAAAATATAAGACATATGAGCAGATATATAAAAATGTGCTAATGAGAAAAATATTAAAGTCTTTTCAAATAATACTCAAAGGCTAATGAAAATATATCCTAGGTAAGTCAACAGATGGTAACACCAAGTCTACTATATTTTTACATGGTAGGTTTCCCTTCATTGGAAGAAAAAAATGCTTTATTCTCAAAATTATAACACAGGTCATCTTATTAAATTCAATATCTCCATATTTATAGTGAAATGTTAAAACATCTATTATATTTGGGGCATTCTAATAAATAAAATGCAGGTTCAAAATCAAACATCTGACTCACCAGAATTAGGCAAATATTTACAAAATGCAAATGGCTACTCTTAGCAGCATTTTATATTCTAATAACTCTTGGGAGATTTCCTTAAATGAACCATATCTGTACTAGTTTAAGAACAACATTAGCCAAACTGTCTTAAGTGAAATGACACCAATAATTTTTCAAGCAAATTTGACAGGAGAATGGAATCTCTAGCACAAATCCTTAGAAAATTCTATTTTCCTTCTTGTTTAAACAAAAATGAAAAGACAGGTGATGATGAAGGAATGTTTCACTCTATAGAACTATTCTAGCTAAAAAAATGAAGGAGGCTGGATGCAGTGGCTCAGGTCTGTAATCCCAGCACTTTGAGAGGCCAAGGTGGGAGGATCACTTGAGCCCAGGAGTTCAAGACCAGCCTAGGCAACATAGTGAGGCCCTGACTCTACAAAAAATAAAATAAAATAAAATAAAATAAAATAGCTGGATGTGGTGATGCACACATGTGGTCCCAACTACTTGACAGGGTGAGGTGGGAGGCTGACTTGAGCCTGGGAGGTTGAGGCTGCAGTGAGCCATGATCATGCTACTGCAATCTAGCCTGGGTGACAGAGACCCTGTCTCAATAAAAAAAGAGAAAAGAAAGAAAAAGAAGAAAAGAAAGAAAGAAAGAAAAGAAAAGAAAAGAAAGAAAAAAAAGTGGGTCAGGCGTGGGCTCATGCCTGTAATCATAGTACTCTGGGAGGCTGAGGTAGGCAGATCACCTAAGGTCAGGAGTTCAAGATCAGCCTGGCCAACACGGTAAAACCCAGTTTCTATTAAAAATACCAAAATTAGCCAGACATGGTGGGGTGTGCCTGTAGTTTCAGCTACTTGGGAGGCAGAGGTAGGAGAACTGCTTAAACCTGGGAGGTGGAGGCTACAGTGAGCCAAGACTGTGCCACTGCATTCTAGCCTGGGTGAGAGAGAGACTCCATCTCAAAAGAAAAAAAACCCAAAGTGGTGAAGAAGGAATGGTAGACTACCAGATTGTACAAGAATTGATAGTACACGTCAATAACAAAATAAGTAACATGATAAAATAAACTTCATCTTCAAACCAGGATCTTATTTAATAGAAAAATATGAGGGTATTGCCCACTAAAGTCAGGAACAAGAAGAAAATGCCCACTACCTTTACTACAATTTAATTACTGTGTTGAAAGTACTTGCTAACAGACATGAGAAAGAAATTAGAAGCATAAATATTGGAAAGGAAAAATTGGAATTTGCATATCATATAATTATGTGCCCAAAAAGATCAAAAGAATCAATGAAAAAACTACAGAAAACAAATCAATAGCTTTCATAGACAATCAGTCAGAGACCTAAGGAACAAAAAGCCCTCATTAATAAAAGCAAAAATATGTGTGATGGTTAATATTAGGTGTCAACTTGACTGGATTGAGGGATGTTGAGGGATGCCTAGGTAGCTGGTAAAGAATTTTTTCTGGGTGTGTCTGTAAGGGTGTTGCCAGAGGAGACTAACATTTGAATCAGTGGACTGGGAGACAAAGACCCACTCTCAATGTGGTAGGCACCATTCAATCAGCTGCCAGCGCTGCTAGAACAAGGCAGGGCGAGGAAGGTGGGATAGCTTTGCTCACTGAGTCTACTGGCTCTTTTTTTCTTCCCATGTTGGATGTTTCCTCTCCTCCTGTCCTTGGACATCGGATTCCAGGTTTTTCAGCCTTTGGACCCTGGGACACCAACAGCTTCCTGGGGCTCTTGGCCTTTCAAAACTTCCCTAGTTTTGAGGCTTTTGGCCTTGGACTGAGCCACTACTGGCTTTTCTTTCTCCAGCTTGCAGATGGCCTACCATGGGACTTTGCCTTGTAATTGTGTGAGCCAATTATCCATAATAAAGTCTCTTTTATATATACATATATCCTATTGGTTAGTCAGAACCAACAACTCCTTCATTTTTTAAGCTAGAATAGTTCTACAGAGTGAAACATCCTTCATTGGTTCTGATAACCAATAGGATATATGGTTTCAGTGAATATGTACTCTTTCTGGGTCCACAAAGGGGCATAGTTTTAAGGGCAATAACTTCCCAGTGCCATGCCCCCCTCCCATGCCTCTCCATCCGGGAGACCTAATGGTTTCTGTTCAAATTTTCACGTGTGCGGGAAGAACCAAAGGTCAGTTGCTCCAGTGGAAGTTTAAAGGAACTCTTTTCATTGGCCAGGGGGCTTGGAGAAGGTGGAAATTCCTCCTAGGTTAAAAGTCTCCTTCTTTCACACCCCTTTGGATTCCATACTTGGGTCACCTTCCACACTCCCTTTGTGGAAGCTGTCTTTCTTCTGGAAAGCTTGTGGAAGCTTGTCTTCCCCTCCTAAACTCCATCTCTCTCTCTCAATTCCCTTCCACTCAGTGTGGAAGCTGCTTTCCTCTCCTGGATTCCATCTTTCTGGATTCTCTCACTCAGTGTGTGAGGAGCTTTCCTTCTCTGGTTTTCTCCCTCTGAGAACCCTTCTCACTCAGTGTGAGAGCGGCATGTCTTTCTCTCACTCAGTGTGAGAGCTAGCTGTTTCTTTCTCTCCCCTTCTCCTTTTTCTCTCTCTGCCTAAATAAATAACTTTTCTACAAAAACTTTTTGGGTCCAGTATTTACTTTACAAGCACACCCGCTGTGGTCCTCTCTCCCATTCTTGGGAGAGAGTGAGACCAAGAGTCTGGAGCCCACTGAGTACTTCCCTGTACCCCAAAATCCGGGAACAGGTTGATTAGGAGAACCCTGACTAATACAATATGTACACATAAATTTTACAAAAAGAGTTTCAAAATAGTTTGAAGACGTGAGATTCTGAGAAGGTGGTTCTCATCACATGGATTCTACCAGTAAAATTGTTGGAATACTGAGTGCTTGCCACATCCAGTGGGAAGCTTGGACAGTAAAATGAGGCTAATTTCAATCAATTTCAGCCCTTGGCACAATAGCAGGTCCCACCCCTACCCCCAGCCCCAAACATATGTTCCTGGTGCAGCTTTAACACAGCTTGCTGGAGCAAGGGTGAACAGAAAGGACCTACTCCTCCAGTATTTGGGATCTATGCACTGAGTGCTGCTTTTGATCACAGAAGTACAGACAAAGAGAAGAAGGCCATTGTTGCATCTTGCACCGTTGTTGCAAGTCCCTCCCGCTCTGACTAAAGTGACTTCTAGAGGATTTACAGGTCTAGATCCTTTTTGTTCTCTCTTTAATTCTTCTCATTTTCCCCTTTTCGAAGCCAGAGACTTTAAGACTAAGACATTAAAAAACAACTGCATATATGGGGAAATTTAGAAAGCGACCACACATGCCCAGGGAAAGGCACTGGCTCAGAAAAGACCTGAGATAATAAAAAGAAATTTTAAAAAAAATTTGAGACAGGGTTTGGTTCTGTCACTCAGGCTGGAGTGCAATGGTGCAATCTGGGCTCACTGAAACCTCCACCTCCTGGGCTCAAGCAATCTACCCACATCAGCCTTCTGAGTAGCTGAGACCACAGGCACATACCATGACACCCAGCTACCTTTCTGTATTTTTAGTAGTGACAGGGTCTTGCTATGTTGCCCGGGTTAGTCTCAAACTCCTGAGCTCAAGCAGTCCACTTGTCTTGGCCTCCCAAAGTGTTGAGATTATAGGCATAAGCCACTGAGCCCAGCCTATCTTAACTTTACATTTTAGCCTATTCTTTGGGACAGTCTACACCAATCAAAAAAACAAAAACAACAGCAAAAAAACAGTAAACCCCTGGGAAAAGAGAGAATCTAATTTCCAGAGTAACTATATTATTAGATTCAAATGTCTACTTTTCAACCAAAAGAATCACAAAGCATACAAAGAAATAATAAAATAGGACACATCTAAAGGAAAAATATGAGGCCAGGCACAGTGGCTTACACCTATAATCCCAACACTTTGGGAGGCCAAGGCAGAAGGATCCCTTGAGGCCAGGAGTTTGAGACCAGCCTGAGCAGCATAATGAGACCCTGTTTCTACTTTTTAGTATATAATTAAAAAATAAAAATAAAAAACATGCCAGACATGGTAGCTCATGCCTATAATCCCAGTACTTTGGGAGGCCGAGGCAGGTGGATCACTCCAGGTCAGGAGTTCTGAGATCAGTCTGGCAAACATGGTGAAACCTGTCTCTACCAAAAATATAAAAATCAGTTGGGTGTGATGGTGCACACCTGTAATCCCACCTACTTAGGAGGCTGAGGCAAGAGAATTGCATGAACCCAGGAGACGGAGGTTAGAGTGAGCTGAGATCGCGCCACTGCACTCCAGCCTGTAGTGAGAATCGGTCTCAAAAATAAATAAACAAAATAAAAAAACAAAGGAAAAAAATGAATCAATAGAAATTCTCTGATGGCAGATCAACTAGATAAAGACTTTAAAACTACTGTCTTAAAGATGCTCAAAGAACTCACGGCAGATGAGACTATCAAG